AAGAAACTCCTTTTCTGTGGGGGTACCTCAGCCCTTACCTGGATGAACTAGGTTAGCCTGATCTCATCAGAAGCTAACCAGGGGGGTCAGCTCTGGTTAGTTCTTGGATGGGAGACCACCAAAGAAGTCCAGGGTGGCTACACAGAGGCAGGCGATGGCAACCCACCCCTGAATGTCTCTTGCTTTGAAAACCCACACGATGGGTCACCATTAGTTGGCTGTGACGGGACGGCACTTTCCACGACCACCTCAGCTGTACAATGCCTGTAAAGTTTTAGGCCACAGGCAAAAAGCATTCTTGTTTTCCAAGCACTGGCTGAGTTTCGTTTTTTTAAAAAAATATGCCCTAACATTTCTCTGCTGCCTTCATTGTTTTACCTGCTCTTTTCCATTTGCCATTCATAATTGATTCCTATACTAATTTTTGCTTTAAAAAAACAATTCTCCAAGGATATTGTGAGCCGCCGTGAGCCTTTTACGGTGAGGCCCACCGAGAAACACTATAATGAAAACCACACACATCCTAAAGTATGTCTCGCACTCGCTCTACACACAGGCTCACTTCCCATGCAAGAAAAATGTTCACCTATATGAAGCCGCCCTTCTGGCGATCAAGTGTTTCTGCGCCGCGATCTGCCCTCGCGCTGGAAACTGAGCGGCTGATGCTTTCTTTCCCACGTGAATCCGAAAGATAATGCCTAGCACATTCCAACTTCCCCTCGAACAATCAGCCGGAGGAGCGGCCAACTGTGGGAAAACCTGGTTTTGTTTTTTCCTGAACAATATAAATAGACTGCTTCCTCTAATAGTAACATTAAACGAGAAGGGGAGGGGAAGGGACAAGGACCGGCTTCTTTTGAACTGGAACAACTGTTTGGTTTTTATTTCCTGCAGAGAATCATGCGGCAAAGTGGACTTGGCTAGGGCTGCTCCACGGGCGAAAAGAAAAGAAAAAGGGACTCTCGAGGTGCCTGGTGTTTTATCCCAAAGACCACCCCCCACACCGAACCTGGTTTGTTGTCGTTGTTGCACTGCTTCACTTAGACTGTGATCGCGCACACTAAATAATGCACTTCCGACCCACTTTCAATGCTCTTTCCGACTGGATTTTACTGTGTGAACCGGCAACATCCAGTTGGAAAGTGTACTGAAAGTGCATTATTTAGTGTGTGCGGCCACAGCTTTAGTCTTCCTCCATTTTGCCCTGTCCTTCCCAAGATCCAGCCAATCAGGGATCCCGTGACGGCATGATGACACCACACAGCCAATCAGCTCCAGTGACACGAGAACTTCACAAAGCGTAATTGCAGTGAGAGTGTCATGATCTGGGCTGTGACACCAGAGGCCTATTAGGCTCAGGGAGCCTGGCTAGCAGTATGGGAGGCTGGGCCTACAAACCCCAGAAAGCCTTGGGAGGTTTTGGCGCCGATTTTGACCAATAGGGAAGAAGAGGGCTGGGGAATATAGGAACTGGTACAAGAGGGAAAGCTGTTCTTCCCAGGGAACAGAGCCAGAAGGGACTGAAGCTGATGTGGGGAAGAGACCCTCATCCTGAGGGGAGGGTGAGTAGTCTAAGGCCACTTGAGATAGTGAGCTAGGGACAGTATATATTTAGACGCGTTAGGGCATTTTATTTCTTTTCCTTTCACCCACTTACTGTTATTATTCTGCACCTTGTTTGTTTGACCTCCTATAAAATGAACTATTTTCATTGTTAACTCTGCCTCGTCCTCACACCTATTATTCGGCCGAAGGGAGTTCTAAAGGCCTGGGAGGGTGCTCTGGGCCTTCTCAGAGGAGCCTGGAACCAGAGTGGTGGCAGCGTCAGGTGATACCCCACGTGAGCCGTGACAGAGAGTAGTGTGTCCTGACCTCACTTTGAAGGGGAGGCATGTGGAGAAATTCCTGTAGATTTGGGGGTGGAGCCCCGGGAGGGCCCTTAGTGGGTTATAACGCCGTACTGTCCTCCCTCAAAAGCAGCCATTCTCTCAAACGGAATCGATTTCTGTAGTCTGGAGACCAGTTGTAATCCTGGGAGAGCTCCAGGTCCTAGCTGTAGGTTGGGAACCCTAATGGGGGGGCAGTTTTTTGCCTCCTTTTGGAGGTGTGCCAAACTGTTGTTGAAATAGGAGGAGGGCTGCATTTTGCAGGAAGTGAACTCTTTCACAAGCTCATCACCCCCTACCCGTTTCAGCTCAGCCCTAGTTACGAGGGCAGGATATAAATATTTTGAACAAGCAACATAAGCTGATTTGGAGAGTGATTTCTGCGTGTCCATTAGTTTTGTGTAGGACCGTGGATGTAGACAAATAGCTATAGCCACAGTCTACAAACCATCCCCGTGGTGGGTGTCATGCTGTGTACCAGCTTCCAAAGGGAATTACCTGGAGGTCAGTATTGTAATGCCCCTCATTTGGAATACTGTGTGTACAGTTCTGGTCACTGTCTCTCAAAAAGGACATGGCAGAACTGGGAAAAGTACAGAGGAAGGCAACCAAGATTATTCAGGGGTTGGAGCACCTTCCTTAGGAGGACAGGCTGAAGAGTCTGAGACTCTTCAGTTTAGAAAGGAGATGACTGAGGGGAGAGAGAGGTTTATAAAATCATGCGTGGGGTGGAGAGAGTGGACAAAGAGAACTTTTCCTCCCTCTCCCAAGAGAACTCGAGGGCATCCAAGGAAGCTGATGGGCAGTAGGTTCCAGATGGACCACAGGAAATACTACTTTACACAGAGAGTAATTAAAATGTGGAATTCGTCGCCAGAGGATGTAGTGGTGGCCATAAGAATAAACAGCTTTAAAAGGGGATTGGATAGGTTCGTGGAGGAGAGGTCTATCAATGGCTGCTAGCCATGGTGACTGAGGGGAACCTCCATATTCGGAGACACTAATCCTCTGAATCCCAGTGCCAGGAGGCAACATCAGGGGAAGGCCTCAGCCTCTATGCCCTGTGGTTAGCTGTCCAGAGGAACTGGTTGGCCATTGTGTGAGACAGGATGCTGGAATGGTCTGGTCCAGCAGGGCTCTTCTTATGTTATGTTAATGATGCATATAAGTATTATTTATACAGGTGTTTTTGGTCATTTACCCCCGCACACAGGCCAACACGGCTATTCACTCTTTTTTTTTACTACAACGCAGCATCTCCAAAGCAAAAAACAATTCAAGTGTGGTGGCGGAGGAAAGAGCCCTCAAGTTGCAGACAGAGCTCTTTTTGCAGCAGGAACTCCTTTGCATGTTAGGCGACACACCCCTAATGTAGCCAATCCTCCAAGAGCTTACAGTAGTCCCTGTAAGAAGAGCTCTGTAAGTTCTTGGAGGATCTACATTAGGGGTGTGTTGCCTAATATGCAAAGGAGTTCCTGCTACAAAAAGAGATGGCCACCACACAGAGTGAGAGACGTGCAGAGGGGGTTGGCCATCGCCTGCCTCTGTGTAGTGACACTGGATTCCCTTGTGGGTCTCCCATCCAAGTACTAAGCGGAGCCGACCCTGCTTAGGCTTCTGAGATCTAATGAGATTGGGCCGCCCTGGGCTGCCCAAGGTGAGGGTATGCACTGAGATGTGCACGCTCGCCAATTGATTTTTCAGGGGTGGGGGTGGTTATGGAGTAGTTTGTTTACATTAATTGGGGAGGGGCTGCAGCTCAGTGCATGAATACCTGCTTTGGATGCAGAAGGTCCCAGGTTTGATCCCTGCCATCTCCGGGACCAGGTGGAAGATGATGGAAAAGATGCGCCCTCGAGACCCTGGAGAGCAGCTGCCAACCTGACTAGGCAGCAGTGCCCTTGACGGACCAAGGCTCTGGCTCAGTAACACGCAGCCTTGCGTGTTCCCCTTTGTGTGTACGTGTACAAAAAGCAAAGCTCTGACTGAACACAACATATCCTGGAATTGCGTTAGGCTGCAAGGCGCCCCTGGACTACTGAGATGGATTGACTAAGGTTACCAGCTCTGGATTGGGAAATATTTTGGGGGGTGGAATCTGAAGGGTCGTGGTGTTTTGGGAGACCCCACCCTCCAGAGCAGCCATTTTCTCCAGGGAAACTGATGTCTGTAGTCTGAAAATCAGTTGTAAAAACAGATCTCCAGGCCCCACCTGGACATTGGCAACACTAGCATGGATAAATAGGTCGCCAACTGCAACTTGAGAAATTCCTGGAGAGGTGAGGTCAGAGCCCAGAGATGGGAGAGTTTGGGGATGGGAGAAACCTCAGCAGGGATGCCATGCCATAGAGTCACGCCTTCAAAGCTTCCATTTCCCCCAGGGCAACTGACCTCCCTATTACAAAGCCGAAGGCTTTTTTCTGAGGGAACGCGACAGAACGGAGTTCCAAAACCTTTTCGACAAAATTCTTTTTAAAAATACTTAAAAGTTCATGAGTTTTCAGTATTCAGATTGAAAACTTCATTTCCCTCTTGAGAGTTCCAGCTAGGAGCGGGGACTCCGATCTGGGAGAACCGGGTTTGATCCCTTACGCCTCCACATGCAGCCACTGGTGTGACCTTGGGTCAGTCACAAGTCCTCTCACTCTCAAGGGCAGTTCTGGAAAGAGCTCTCTCAGCCCCACCTCCCTCACAGGTTGTCTGTTGTGGGGAGGGGAAGGGAAAGGAGACACTCCTTCGGGTAGTGAAGGGCAGGGTATAAATCCAATCTCTTCTTCTTTTTTAAAATAAAATTTAAAAAACCCTGTGAAGGCCACTTATCATTCCGGGAGATCTCCAGGACCCACCTGGAAGTTGGTGACTTACATACGGGTACAGACGTATAAGATACGGGCTCACCGCGCTCCATAAAAGGCGGGCCACGCGCCAGCGCTCTTCTGCAACAGCGGAGGGAGTTCCCCCCATTGCGCGTGCGCGCCAAGGTCCCACGCCTCGCACCTGCGCACTGCCCGCGGAAGGCGAGAGGCACTGGCACCTCCCTCCCCCGGTCCGCCTTTGTTTCGAGCGTCAGTTTCCCAGGCAGCCTGGCGGCGGAGGGGGGCGTGGCTATGCAGATGAGCCACGGGGCGGGCCCGGCGCTTCGGTCCGTCAGTCGGAGCTGGCCGCTCGCGAAGGGAGGAGCTGCTGTGAGGCCCAAAATCGAGCGCCTCCTCCCGACCCCCGTCCGTCCTGCCGAGCCCCGAGGATGATAAACACCCAGGACAGGTACTGAGGGAGAGGCGGCGGCGGCGGCGGCCCTCTTTTACCTCCGGGGACGCGCGCCTTCGAGGAGGAGGGGGCGACAAACGGGCCTTTCCCTCCTCAGGATCGGGGCCTTCCCGTCTCTCTTCGCAGGATCAGGGCCGATCCTCCCCCCCCTTCCCTCTCCGAGAGACCCGGATGATGCACAAAGACGAGGGGAGGGAGAAGCGATGGAGAGAGGCAGGAAGGGAAGGAAAACAAAATTAGAGGGGAGGGGGGCGATTGAATGTTTGTAAGGCGCAGGCGCCGAGCTTTGCACGACGAGGACGGGGGTGGGGGGAGACGCTTTGCACGCTCTTGTGCAAGTGGGGGGGGGCTGGAGGAACGCGCGCACGCGCACTATGGCTGCGCACGTCGACGCCTCCTTTTAATTTCCCCTCTTAACCCCCTCCTCCCGAATGGAGGTTTGGACTTGCCTGGTGCGTGTGGGGGGGGAACCCTTGTTGTCCATCCTCCCCTTTCCTGGGGGGCGGTGTGTTTCCCCGCCCACGCGCCCCTTCTTGCGCTTCCCTTTTTATTGTCTCCTCCTCCACCTCTTCTGCCCTGTTAGGGGAATATTGCTTATTTTTTCTTGCACCAAGGTGTAGCTAAGAGCCCGCTTATTCCTGGGGTCTCTCTGACGTGAGGCGGATTTGGAGAGGGGGAGAGCCAGTTGCAAGCCTGTGGACCGACCCTACCCTCGACCTCGAAATTCGGGGTGGGGTGGGGTGGTTTGCTTGGTGAACACGTCCAGGATCGGCCCGCAGAGCTTGCCCAAGGGCAGCCTCGTGCTGCCCACCCGGTCCCCTTGGGTCTTGGAATCGGATGTTTTAGAAAACAGGCCTGGAAGGACTTGAAAGACTGCCTGTGCAAACATTCCTGCATGGGCCCTTTCAGGCTGGAGCCCACTTTGTCAAGAACATCTCATGGCACCTGCCGAGTTGGGCACTAATCAACAGCTTATACTGGGATAAAATGTGAGCAGTCTTTCAAAGTGGTGCTGGACACCTGTTTATTTTTGGTCTGTAGGAGCAGAACCACATTCAATTCCAGTAGCTCTTTAAAGACCAACAATATTTCCCCTGGGTACACAGACGCAAACATTTTTCCTGGGTACACAAACTTTCCTGAGTGAAAACTGACTTTGTCAAATACAAATAAAGACTGACCTGCTCGGATTGTGTTTATTTTTGGTATCTGAAGACCTTTGTGCACAAATCAGTTAGAGGGAGAGGGCTCACTCCGGCTGCCGTTCTCCAGCAGGGTATCAAAGGCCCTGGTCACACGGCAAAGTTGCCGCGGGAGAGGCACGGATGGTGGGCGGATTATCCGGGTGCGATCACACCCCAACATCTGGGAAGTGGAGCTCACCCGTGGCTTACCACCGACAATGCGAGTTAAAAAACTAGTACCTCCAAGGTACTAGTAAACGTTTGCCACGGGCTGCCTCCAGACTCCCGTGATGTGATTGCGCCGGCGCACAGCATTCCCCTCCGGTCCCTCGTTTACCCGCTGGCGCAGAAGGAAGGACCCGTGGTGTGCCACCGGCGCGTCTGATCGCGTAATCGCGGATCAAACTCGGCCGGGGCAATTAGCCACCCCCCACCCCCCCCGTGATATCTGGCCCGTGTGACCAGGGCCTTAGTACCTGGGGTTGAGTGAGCACCAGCTTTCCTGGGACATCTTGTAAGTTATTGTTGGTGCTCTACGGGAACATCGACTCGCCATGGACATTTTATAAAGCTGGAGTAGGACAGGCAATAGCAGTGGCATGTAAGAGGCTTCTGTTCAGTGTTAGAATGGTGAATCTTTTGACTTGAGGTAATCTGTGTGGCTTTTCTGACTGTTGTGTCTATTTTTTGTGCACTTCTGGTGAAGTGGTCATATGGAACATACACTAAGAAGGTTCAGATGGTGGTCCAGAGTACACTCTTGGACCTCCAGAAATAAGGCTGAGCAAATTTTGTTGGTCTTTAAAGCGCTACTGGACTCAAATTCTGTTCTGCTACTGCTGACTAAGAAGGGTTGGATTTTTTTTTTTTACTGTCAAGTCACAGCTGACTTATGGTGATCCTCCCGGTGGGTTTTCAAGGCAGGAGATGTTCAGAGGTGGTTTGCCATTGCCTGCCTCTACAAAGCGACCTGGTATTCCTTAGAAGTCTCCCAATACTAGCCAAGGCTGGCCCTGCTGAGCTTCTGAGATCTGACAAGAAAGGGCTAGCCTGGGCTATCCACCAAAAACAAACAGGTGTCCAGTGCCAGTTTAAAAGAAATAAGGCGTCACTGTGATCTGAGCCTTTGCGGGGTGGGGGTGTAGTACCATAGAACATGGAAGAGGCTGATATCTACAGCCTCCCGCCAGTGTGAAAAGCTTTGTCTAGAAAGGGGAAAAAGACAGATGACTTCTTGTCACTGGAGAGCTTCCTCTCCTGAGAGGACTGTAGCAACTCTTGCACAAGTCACATGGGTTTTACTCTGCTGGGAGATGGGTGAATGAAGTGATCTTCAGAATATAGACTGTAGGCCTTCGTGTTCCTCCCCTGCAATCCTTTGTCACTAGGTGGAATTGTAGATTATGACCCCACTTGGATTTGGGGGTCTAATGTTTTTCACCCCTGGGATTTGGACCTAGGCTGAGAAATTTCTGAAAGTTAATTTTTTAATAAGCCCAAATTTGTTTTGGAAGAAAGGTGGGGTACAGATTCCTTAAACAGGTAAATATAGCTGCTTCCACTCTGCCCCCCTCCCACAGGGAACTTTCTAAGGACCAAGATTCCAGCCTGGCTCTAATGATGGTTTCCTCTTGGAAGAAGGGGGGTTGCAGAACATGGTTTGCCAGGAAACCAAAGTTCGGAGAAACGCTTGGTTTAAAAATGAGACATTCCTCACACCTCAAGCAGAACTAGATGTTCAGTATTGTTTGCTGTCTTTTTCTGTTTACAGATCTTTTTAATAAAGAATTTGCTTATCTTTGCAATAGCCTGTGGGGAATCTTGGGCAGAGACAGTCATGCCCAAAACTATAGGGTGAGCTTCCTGGCTAGAGTAGGAGTGTGAACTGTAGCCCTCCAGTGCATGTCCATATCATCCTGGTCTGCACTGAGAGATTAAACTGTTTTCCAGGCTACAGGATAACTAGTCCTATTTCTTGTTTATAGTTGCCAACTGATTATACTGGGCAGAAACCTGTATTTGTTGACCAAGGATGCTGTCTGCATCCTTGTTACACCAGATATTCCAAAGTACAATACTTGAAAGACCGTGATCTCTTTCACTCTGTTAGGTGTGAATGATCTTAGCAAAGCTAAGTGAATAGTGTCTGGTATTCTTGATTAGGTTTTAATTTTGCATTGTTACACATTACCCTTTGCTTCCTCTATTTCATGGCCCAGAGACAATTGCTTGTTTCTTTCATACCTCCTACATAAAATACCTCCTGCATAAAATATCTGCCGTTGGAGGAGCCACTCACTGCATCCGAAGAAGTGGGCTGTAGAGTCCACAAACATTTATGCTTGTTATTTTAAGGTGCCACTAAACGCCTGTTTCTGCAGCAGACCCAACACGGACACCTGTCCCAAGTTAATTTAGTGTATGTAGATGAAAGTGATTTTCCAATTTAATTGCAGAGACATGCTTTTTCTAGCGTTTTAAAATTGCGAGTCAGCGGTGGTGGAAAGTTAACATTTGATTCCAGCGTTTTGTGCACTACAGTTGAATTCTTCAGATGCCTTTTTGGAGGAAAACCCTTGATCTTGTGACCTCTCAGTTCCATGAGACTGACATTCTGCACCACTTCCAAGATCTGGCTAGCCTGGGCTATGCAAAATGACTTTTGCAGCAGTGATTCAGTTTGAACAAATAGATCTTACCTGGGAAACCTGCTACTAAAAGGTGCACAGAGCAGCAAAGCACAAATCGAGCATTCAGACTGCAGTCTCAATACAGTTGCTTTAGAGTTCCTATTTCCTCAAAATAAATTGATTTTTTTATTGGGAGTGGAAGAATGTCAAACTTGTCCTGAGCATCTGTGCTTGCAAGTCAGACTGTCACTTGAGGTGGCAAATGTTTAGAGGGGCGTTTGGAAAAATCTCAAGTGTTTTTGCAAAACAGGAAGGTTCTTTGTTTACTGCTATTTCAGGGAAGGTTTTCTTAGGCCGCTCCAAAACATAATGCATGCAAACTTTAAAATAATAATACAAAACCAGACACAGGAGCTTAGCATTATTGTCTGTGTACTACAGGCTGGAATACGGGCCCCTGCCTGTGATTGATTGCTAAACTTAAAATATGGGTGTATGCAAGGCACTCAGCTGGGTGTTTTTTTAAAATCCACTCAAGGCCTTTGGTGTTATGTAAACAGTGAGGTAATTCCATCCATCTAGAGGTCTAGAAATCAGGTCAGGGAGGGGGGCGAGGCCTGGTGATCCTCTTAGCATTTGCTACGTTGCTGGTGGTGGCCAGTTGGCCGTGGAAGCAATATCATTTAAGTGCATTCGCTACAGTATATGAACAATCTGTCCTGTGAAGACAGCATGAGCCCTTACTAATTTTAGACCTTTTTTCTAACATTGTGGTTGGTGTAAAATCATCAAGCATACTACAGGCAAAGCTTTGTTGCAGTCTAAAATACATCTTACCTAGTAGCATAACTTACCTTTCGAGATCTTGGTTAGTTACCAAACCTGGCTTCCGTATATAATCAGATGTGTTTCTCTGTTGCCTCTTGTACCTCTGCTTGGGGGAAAACAGAGCTGGAGGACTTGGATTGGTGTGTATATGCATGCACACGTATATTTGTAGGCTAGCACAGGGTTATAGTCGCCACTCAGAACATCTGAACCATACAGCTGGTAATATTAGGCACTTTTGGAACTGGGGTCAGTTTTGTTCTAGCCTGATCTCATCAGATCTCAGAACCTAAGCAGGGTCAGCCCTGGTTAGTATTTGGATGGGAGACCACCAAGGAATGCCGGGGCCATGGCGCGGAGGCAGGCAATGGCAAACCACTTCTGAATGTCTCTTGCCTTGAAAATTCTACAGAGGAAAACCCATATGGGCGGACTAGAGAGCCAACAGTGCAGCACTGGGCAGATGCTCCCACACTGCCTGACAGCTGCAGATGAGGTCATTCCACCTTGCTAAAGCCAGAATCGGAGTGGCTCCGCCCACTCCCCCCAGCACTTTCTCCCTTGCATCAGTTGCTTGCAGGCTGCATAAGAGCCCTGGAGGGGCCGGATACGGCCCCCATGCCTTATGTTTGACACTCCTGTCTTAATAGTTTCTCTTGGACTAGATTTTGTAAGTGGTTGGCTGGCTCATTTCTGTTGAAGAGGAAACCTATTGCCTCTGTGTGCAATTTCTTTCTGTCACTAGTTCTTGGGCAAGGTACTTGTGTAGATTCTCTCCTCCCCAGACCAATCCAGGAATGGAGGGGATGTTTATGGCAGGCAATTGACCAAATGGTCAGCCATCTGGCTTCAAGAGGAAATCAAACAACGGGGGGTCAGCAAGATACATTCCAAGGGGGAAACATGAAGCCTATAGAGCATTCCACGGGAGACATAAAGCCTATAGAAATCAATATTTCTATACAGTACTGTTTCCCAGAAGGAGTCTCTGAGCACCTGCTTGTGCCCCTTGAAACTAGCGATGAAGCTCCCTTGAAATCTGTACTTTATTTTTTCGTTTCTTCAGGGCTCCTTTGTCTATGCCAAGTACAGTTTCCCCTGGATGCTCCAGCTTTCTAGTTCCCACTCAATAACGATGTGAGCAATCTTTGGGTCAGGCTTTTAATTTACCAGTTCTTGCTGGCCCAGTTATCCAAGCCTGGCTCGCTATTAGGAGGTTTGGAATTGGTCCCTCTTGTTTTATGGTAGGAAAGACTTTCTTTAGCAAAGCAGCATTTAAGTTTTATTTTCCCCCCCTAATTGGGCCAATATATCAGGCGACAAGTTAATTACCATTTGGGTTAAATCCATCCAGCTGTATAGCCAAGCGTAGTGCGACCCAATTTTTGCTCTCATCCGGGTTATTATTTTAGAGTGCACGTTGCTATTTTAACGATTTGAATAAATGCCTAGTGATCACTCTCTGAGATTCTTCTCATTCCGATATCCATGCAAGAGAGGATGGAGGTGGTTTAGCATGGGCTGCTCTTATTTCTATGGGGCATAAAAATGGCCGCAGGGATGCCAGCAGAACACAGCGCATTCTAAGACCCAAGGAACATTTTCTTCCCCAGGGAGCTGAAGACGGACTGGGCAAGCCAGTTGCTTCTCGTGATGTACACACATTTCCACTTTATTTATATAATCTCTGGTCAACGTGGTTTTGCAGAGAATTATTAGTATTTTGGGGGGAATTCAAAACTTGTTTTAACTGGAACAGATAGCAAGACAGAGGAAATCCATGTGCAAGTCACACTGGTGGTGCTCTGTAGCAGCCAGTTTGATCAGAGATTGCAGGATTTGGGGTGGGGGAGAACACGCTTGTTTAGAGTATGTCTCAGCTCTGAAAAAAATTCTCTTCCGCCTCTGTTCTTCAAGTGAGATAATCAACTAGTACGGTATAGTGGTTAGAGCGTCAGACTAGATTTAGAGAGAGAGAGGTTCAGATGCCCACTTTTGCCACGGAAGGTTGCCGTGTGGCCTTGGGCCTACTTCATAGGGTTATTGTGAGGATAAAATGGAGGAGAGTGATGTATGCCCTTTAGGACCTCATTAGGGAGTGAGGCAGAATATAAAGTATATAAGTGTAAGCTAGATTTGAGTCCAGTAGCAACGTAGAGATCTTTTTGGTCTCTAAGGTGCTGCTGGACTCAGATCCAGCTGTTCTACTGCCAGCCAACATGGCTGCCTTCTGAAATGAAATAAATAAATATTCCCTTGACTTCACAAAGTTCTGTCCTTCCCCTCTGGAGAGATAAAGGGGTATTTTCCTGTATTTTTTGCAAAGATGAATGTGCCATGTAAGTGGCGGGAAGCCTTGCCACACAGCAGAAAGAGACCATTGTACAGCTGAGAGACATATTGCTGAGTAAACCCCACTTCCATGCAAGTTCACAACATTCATATGATGGTGGCGTGTCCCTCCCCCTTACTGAGTACGCCCCGGACTGTGTGAATTCTGCAGTCACCACTGGAAATACAGAATATACTGTAGTCGTGTGCAGAATGCAGTCTCCCCTGCGAGTTTCAGTTTCTGTGCTTTTAGAAGTGTGTGGGTTGGGCCTGGCAATGTTCTGGAGGGAGGGGGGGTGAGGTTTCTTTTCTACATATAGCTCCCCCCCAATGATTATCAGAAACAGACCGGATTCCACAAAATAAACAAAGGTGTTTGGGTCACATAATGTATACCAGTCACGGAATGTGGCTTTTCTTGATGCAGAGTTGTGTTTCCTTGAGCTAATGGGGCGTCTGTAGCAGTATCTGTCTGGCCATACATATGCTGATGTACTTATTGATTTAGTCACAGATGTGGCTGATCCAGCCCTCTGAGGCTCTTTATAGGACTAGCCGCTGCAAGAATGAACTGCTTTCCATGAAGGGGTGGGGAGGGGAAGAATGTTGATTTTTCACTGCTACACTTGATTATTCAAAAATCCTCCAGCAGTGATAATGCTGCATTGTTGACTGGAGAAGACAAACACATCTCTCAGCCGTATTGGGAAGGCTGGAGAGGGATAGTGGGGAATGCTGTGCCAAGCGTTTTGCCACGCTGGTCTCCTCCACCCAGGCACCAGCACAGAAGCAGAGCTCTGCTTTTAGTATGCGCTGTTCCGGCGCATACGGTTGATGTAGGCCGACAAGTGTCATGTACAAGCGCTTAGCAGCCGACGCCTCCGGTACAGCTGCTTTGGATCGGCCCATGCAGGCACATTAACTTGAGCAAGAAGGGCGCCCCCCCCCCCATTCCAGACCGGCCATTTGGCTTCTCAGCACTGATTTGGATGCCTGCAGTCATTTTACTTTTTGCACAGTATGGAGAATGGCTGCTGTTCAGGGACACGCTAGCCTTAGGCCGCGGAGCTGGAAGCAAGTGTGAAGACGACTCCCTCTTGTCCAGCCAGAACATGTTGACTTGGAGCCTTTCTCTTGGTGCACGTCTGCCTTTAACACAGGAACTGTCGGGAACTGGTTGGGTGGTGCTCTGACAGAAATGAGCATCTCTGTAGCACAAAACCCCACTCCTGGTATGGATGCCTGACGAATTTGGAGGTTTGGGCTGCAGTTTGTGAATGTGACACGTGCAGCAGAGAGTCTTGGGCCATCTCAAAGATGCCCCTGATTTTACTGCAGCGTACATTTTGTGACTTGGACGCCCACTTCATCGGATGCATTCAGAACTCCCTCAGCCCTGCCTACCTCACAAGGTGCCTGTTGTGGGGAGAGACTCCTTAGGGTAGAGAAAAGCGAGATATAAAAACCTCCTCTTCTTCATGATAACTGTGTTAGTTGCTGCCCTGTCCCTTTGCCAATGACTTTTGAAGTTTCCCAGTCGTCTCCTCACAGTGTGGTGTAATGGTTAACAGTGCCAGGTTGTTGTGAAGATACGATGGAGAGGAGAGTGATCTAAGCCATTGGGAGGGAAAGATATACATGCCTTTGAACTCGCAGGTTAGACATGGATGTGAAAGAAATGTTTATAATTCCAAGTGACTTTACCATGTCCAAATGGTAAGCAGCAGTCTGCTGATCATATTAGTGACAACAGACTCTTTGGACACAAAGGGAAAGCACAAGGAGATCTGTAGAGGAGTGCCAAGACAAATGCATTCAGCAAAGGCCCCAATGTGTTTTCAGGCCCAGAGTACCTTGTCATTGGAGGACTGAATGCTGCATGCTGATGTCCTCTGGATGTTTCTGTTTCAAGATTGTGTGCTTCTGAATATACCAAATTCCCCTGAGGAAGGGCACCTTTGGCCAGAAAGGCATTGGATTATTTGTTGAGTAACTCTGTCTGCACTCACTGCTGCGGCCTCTCTCTCTCTCATGCTGCATTATCTGTTTCAAGAGCTTCCATTTTGTTGGGCCACATCCTGAGCCGAGGCGAAATTGCTGTCTCCTGGAATGCACAAAGAGGCAAATTGTGTCTCTCCGTTGTGTGGGAGGGGTACAAGCTGTCTTCCAGAAGCCCTGAAAGCAAGCAAGCCCCAGCATGCTTCTTTTCATGCGTTCTCATGCTTCTATCTCTCTGTGGGATTTTTTGCAGAAGGCCCACACAGAGAAGCGCACACACTCCCTTAAGGGCGGCAGCCTCACAGAAACAATAAAACAATCCACTACAAATGTCTGGAAGAATCACCGCCACCGCCCTTGTCATTCCCTTTCTGATAATATGAAGCCTAACCCTGCCCCTCCAAGAATCTGTCGCTCTATTTCTAGATGTTTATTGGAAAACGTGTGCTCATTGGCGCGTGTCTCCAGTCGCCCGGGCCTCCTGCCAGCAGAGGCGTTTGCCGTGCGCCCTCTCCGTTGCCGTGGGACCCTCTTCTCTCCCTCCCTTTTGTTCTCTTGTGTCCGACGGCTGCCTGCTCAATAGGGATGGTGCACAAGTGGCCGGTGCAGAGTCTTAGCCGAGACACCCACCTAGCAGGGCTCCTGAATCTAACCGTATGCATTTTCTCCCCTTCTTCTTGCAGTAGTATTTTGCCTTTGAGTACCTGCCCTCAACTCCAGTGCTGCAGGCACATTGTCCCAGGGCCTCTGTGGTGCTCCTGATGCCCCTCACCCACTGTCGAAGATCCCCGGTGGGCGAGGGGTTGGCAGGGATCCTTCTCCCTCTGCTCTGATATATAAGGTGAGCCGCGTTGCGTGTCTGGAGTCTTAACTAACTGGGGGTGGGGTGGGGAGGCTGGATACTAACCTGCTTTACCATGAGAGATGGACCTTGTTTTGGGGGGAGGCAGGGATCCCGTCATCCCCGAATAAGAGCCTCAAGGAACGTGGCGGATAGTTCCTTGCTCCAGAACAGCTCCTCCTGCTACGTAGGTCAAGCGTGTTAACTTCTGCAGCAGGTCCATCTCTTTGCTGGGGACCGTGAGGACTGTGCATCACACATGTGACGGGATGCCCGCACTGGCTCTTTTCTGTTTGCGACTGCAGCACACGGGGAGAAAACGGCTTTAGACTTCCCTTTCCACGCTGTTGGGGTTTTTTTGTGTGTGTCCTCAAACTGCCCCATGGGGCCGTTGTTGGCTCCATTGTAAAGATCTTGTTGTGTAAGCTTCATAGCAGAATGACTAACTACTCCATGGCGCAGTTTGAGGATCTGAAAACTCTGTGTGTGCGTGTGCGTGGGGGAGCTACAGCCACTTCTCTCTGAACACAGTGGCTGCAAACAAAGGAGCTGGTGCGCACCTGGAAGGCGCCACGGCACATGCAGTATAGAATCCTCAGGTTGTTCCCCAGCCAACATTAGGGCTTTGTAGTAGGTAGATGGACCCTGATGTTGAGTAATTTTTGGTGTGGCAGTTTTGGGTGGTGGTGGAAATTGCCATCGAGTCACAGCCAACTTGTAACGTCCCCCAGAGGGTTGTCATGGCAAGAGATGAACAGAGGTGGTCTACCTCTGTAGCAGCCCTGGACTTCCTTGGTAGTCCCCCATCCAATTACTAACCAGGGCTGACCCTGCTGGCTTCCTGAGATCGGACTAGCTGGGGGCGTCCACATCGGGGCCCATCTTGGGTTCCTTTGGAAATAAGGGACTTCTGGGACCCTTTCCCGCACCATGGGGTGTTTACTGTGCTTGTTTTTATTAGGCAGCAGGACTCTAGGAAATAACACTGAAACTGTTCTCTGCAGCAAGTTAGTCGATGCTGGCTTGGAGCGCATCGCCTGACTGCTATATTCCCCGGGGCTGTGCGTTTCCATAACACTTATACAGCCACTGTCTTCTGGAACAAGGGTTGTCTTGCAGCCAGAAGGAAGGGATAAATAGGCCAGTAGGTTCCTTTCCAGTGCTGCAGGTCAGGTCCTGGAAACAGCTGGATTGAATCTGAAAAGCCAGGTAGCCTCAGCTGGTCCCGAGAGACTTGACGATGCCATCCTAAGCAGAGTTGCACACCCTTCTAAATCCATTAAAGTCATTGGGCTTAAAAGGGTGTGACTCTGGTTGAGATGTCTGGCTGTCGGTGAGGCTTAAGCTTTCTTACACACACGGTTCTGGTGGGACTTGGCCTCAGTTGTTGAATTGAGGATGCAGTTCTGCTGCTTATTGCCTGGAGCAGCATGGGCCCTGTAGATCTGTGCCTTTGTGGAGGGAAATCTTTGTTTCCACACCCAGCCCATCTAAGCCGGCTCCTGTATAAATGCTCATTTTTCATCCCTGGGGTGTGCTTAGGTATAGTGCGGTTGCAAGCAGAGGATGCCTGTTTTGTTTAGTATGTGGTATTTACAAAACCGAGTATGGTGATTCGCCTGGAATTCTGACAAAGCACAGAATAATCACTCTGATAATTCTTGGTAGCTTGCCGGCATGATTGATGTGCCGGGTCAACCCCACGCTTTGAAATCATGCCTTTCTGCTTTGAAAAAGCACCTAAGGTTGCCTAAGCCTGAAATTTTTGTATTGGTAACATTTCATGCTTCATTCACTTATGGGAGTGCATCATTTGCATTTGTTCAAATAGTCTTATACAATGGGATTTTCTACTGAGATTCCCTCTGAAAATAGTCACTTTTTATTAAGGCTTTAGAGCAGGACTACCTTCTGGATCCTGTCAAGATAGTTTGAGTCTTTGAGACTGTCAATTATTACAGCATTGCTTCCGGAGTCAACCAGAATGCTGTTATACCCCCCTGCGATGTACCAGAGCTTAGTACTGCCTGCATAATTCTGCCTGTGTCATAAGACAAAACAATTCGTCCAGAAGCCTGTTTAGTGGTCACGACAGAACAGATCTGAGTATGTGAGAACAGTTGTTAGACAGGGCCCAGGAAGGTCTGATTTTGAACAACCAACTTGAAATGGTTGAGACAAAACCCCAGAGGACAGGCAGCACTTTGAAATGCCCACAGGGAATTGTTTGAGAGAAGAGGTGTCTAAAACTGACTTGGATCGAAATGAAGGGAACTTTCCAGTTGAACTGGAGCCTTGTTAATATCAGTTTTTCTTCTAAAAAGCAAAGGGAAGGGTATTAATTTTTGTAATAAAGCAATAGTAGGTAGTCACTAGTGATTGAAAAATGTTAATCATAGTAAATCTTCCTGTGATTTAATACTACTTCTACTTTTTTTTTTGTTCAATAAAACACAAAGGATGAGAAGCTCACTGTTAACCAAGATCTTCCAGTGCACGATGGGAAACCACACATTGTTCACTTCCAGTACAAAGTGACGGAAGTCAAGATCTCTTCCTGGGATGCAGTGCTATCAAATCAGAGTCTTTTTGTGGAAATCCCTGATGGTTTATTAGCCGATGGGAGTAAAGAAGGGTAAGAATCGTAACAGCCTAGTTAAAACAATAATCGTGAAGAAGAGCATGTGTTGTGCTACTAGCTATCATGGAAATTATTTGGTTAGGATGAACAGTGCTGTTCATGATTGGGGAGGAGTCAAAGCAAGCTGCACAACAGGTGCAATGTGGGGAAGAAATTGATGGAGAACAGATCAAAACCTTACTTGTGCTTATGCCAATATATGACCACTTAAAATGTCCACAGTGTTTCGAAGTCCCCCTGGGCAATCTTCAACTCACATCTTTGGTCCCACCTCCGGAATTTGCCACTGGCTTGTTTGTTCCATCCCGGATGGTGCTCTGCCTCCATTTCAGCTGTTAGAGGAACTTAACCCCCACTCTCCAATTTGCTCATAAGGTTGAGATAGGGATCTGAGGCCACAGTGGGTCAGAAGCAATGCTCCCTCTAAGCTGTGGAATATTGTGAGCAAAAATTCTACTTTGTGAGCTAATAGCATTAAAGTTGTGAGCAAGCAATTTGGCTACTGCATAATTAATTTGCTCTGGAGCCCTCCTTCCTGAGCTGAGACAAAATTGTGTGAGCTGGAGGCCAGAAAACTGTGACCTAACTCAGCTTAGAGGGAACATTGGTCAGAAGGGGACCCCCTTTACTGATATGTGGGTTATATGATGTCCAAACAAAGGTACTAGGACTAAACCAGCCTTTGTTATTTCCTTGGTGTTTCACTTCATCTGTCTCTCTTCCTTGTGACACTTTTTTTGGGATGGTACTTCCGCTCTGAGCATGGTTAAGTACAATTGCATAACTGGTTATTTTTAACTCTCTAAAATAAGCTTGGTAGAGGTTATAATTAAAAGGGATCACTATCATATTAGCCGAATCCCAAGTTAATCTCCACCTGCTGCTGGTTCTCCGGTCTTGGGGGCCATCATTCAATTAGGGCTCAATTGAAGGTGCAGTTTTAACTTCGGTTTGCCAACTTTGCAGCAGGAGCTGCGAGCAGAGCAGTGGGGCTGAAGCCACCCAGGTCCTGCCATTTGGCACAGTTGATGGAGTTCAGAAAGTTGACACAGAGCAGATTGACTTGGGGGGGGGGGAATCAGTATGTCTCTTACCCCTGTCTTTGTGACGGGAGGCGCCAACCTGGTGTCCTCCCTTCCTTTCTCTTTGCCCTCCTCCCTCAGTAGAAACTTTAGCCTCAATGGGAGAGAGGGAATAATATACCGTCTGTCTTCTTTAGAGAAAGTGGGGCTTAGAAGCTTTGTTCCCAAGCCGTGTCGATTCCCTGGCAAGGTGGTGTGTCTCTTGACCTCCCGTCTGCACAAAACATGTTTGCTCAGAGCTAGAAAACTTGTTGGTCTGGCCCTGAGGCGGGCAGGGCCACTGTTAGATTGTCACTTACCCTTGCTCCCTTCCCCTTCAAATTCCAGCACAAGGTATTGAACCAGGAAGCTGTCAGAGGCTTGTCAGAGCTGTGGCTTCAAGGGCAGGCTCATGCCCTGTGGAACCTCATCTGACTTTGGCCTGAATCCAGGTTATTAGATAGGAGCCTCTCCACCCAAGAGCACTTTTTGGCAGCAGCCCTGAGCTGGTTAATTGGCAAATGGAAGGATTTGATGGCTGCATCCCCTTTAGGTGCTCAGGTATAGCAAGTCAGTGGCCTTCCCCAGACCGGGGGCCCAAAACTTCCATCATGGGACTGGGTTTTTTATTCCCCTCCCTGATACTCTGCTGCCTTTTCCATGTAGCCTGCCCTGAGCCCGTTTTGCGGGGAGGGCGGGGTAAAAATCCCAATAAATAAATAGGATTTTATGCTCGCTGCCGCCACAAAATAAATAGTGGCCATTTTAGATTTGCCCCTACCCACTCCCCCATCTCTTCTTTGCATGCCTACTTGGCCTTATCAGTCGCAAAGGACAGAAATGGAGATGGTCCCAACCCATTCCTTGACGGGAAGGGCTGTGGCTCAGTGGTACAGCGTCTGCTTTGCACGCAGGAGGTCCCAGGTTCAGTCTCCACCCAAAAGAATCAGGTAGTAGGTGGTGTGAAGGACTCCTGCATGAGACCCTGGGGAGCTGCTGCCAGACTGAGTAGACAGCACTGACCTTGGTGGACCTCAGTATACGGCAGCTTCATGCAACCAATGTGACCAAGAATGGAGGCAGCAAAACGTCTGATGCCCTCTTTTCTCCCCCTCCTGGCAGATTATTAGCACTGTTGGAATTTGCCGAAGAGAAAATGAAAGCAAGTTATGTCTTCATTTGCTTCCGCAAAAGCAGAGAAGACAGAGGTGAGTGCCTTCAGCCCTTTATTCGGAACTTGGCCAAGGAGAAGCAGTTCGTGGTCACAGCCTGCCGTCAGCCCCCCACCTGGAGGCATCCCATCAGTGACAAACAAACTGTGGTGCTGAGTTTGAGAAGTTTAGACTTTTGAATTTTTATTGGGAAAGGGGTCTCTGTGCAGTAAGAAACTTGGTTTGAACGGCAGCCGCGGTGGACAGGATTTCTGAATGGGCTGCAGGAAGACCAACGTGGCTGCAGTAGTACAAGAGAGTCCCTTTGGTTGAAATGGGCAAGGAGCCCTTTCGACCGCTTGCATGGATTGCGGCATGGTGCTGGATGCCCAGGTAGTCCTTTGCTTGAAGGAGGGAGGTGTCTGACTAGGATCTTGCTGCTTCCAACCTCTCCCATATTTTAGGAATTGTAGGGAGTTAGTTTAAAGCTTATAATACTGTGACTTGGAGCCTGTTCATTAAGAGAAACAGGGAAACCTTTGTCCGAGAGTTCTTAAAAACAAAAAACTCACCACCTAGTTTCTCTGGATTCAAGGACCAGCCTTCAGTAGTCTAGCTCACCTGGAAGCACTTTGATTGCACATCTTTAAGCAGGTGACAATTGTTCTGGGGGGCCTCTTTACTGGATGAGGGCTCCCGGTGAGCATCAGGATTTTGATCTTCTTGGGATGGAGTCCGGTGACAACTGTTCTGGGGAGCCCCTTTACCCCGGTAGGCATCAGGATTTTGATCTTCTTGGGATGGAAGGGACTGCAAGTGCCTTCAGATTACAGCACCCAACACACAGCCCCGTTTTCCAATCTAGTCTGAAGTAAGATTTGGGGATTTACTACTGAAGGGGTGACAGCTTGGTGCCATTATTATCCCCCGAGCAAGCCAAGGTGGCACTAAGGCCTTGTTCAGCAGTGTGGGAGAGGAGCCATTGATCTCTCCACCCGATTGAGGCACTGGGGAGGGGGAGGCGAAGAAACTCTGGGGAGCAAGGCAGGGAGGTGATTCAAGGGGCTTTCAAGACAAGTAAGGAGCAGAGGCGGTTTACCACTGCTTTCCTCGGCAGCCTTGGTCTCCCATCCAAGTACCGACCCTTGCTTAGCTTCTGAGATCTGACGAGATCAGGTTATACCATGCTGCCTTCCCTCCATGTAAGAGGAGTTAGATGCCCGGGAAACTCAGGTCTAGGGACTAGACGACTTGCCCATTGCTAGAGCCTTGTTCCGATAGCCCTGGCCTGTAGCTGAACTCATAGATTCTGCATTGGAGGATGTCTGAATACTCTTCCTGCCTGATGCTGGCATTTTGTCTTCACAGCTCCATTACTGAAAACATTCAGTTTTTTGGGCTTTGAGATTGTGAGGCCTGGCCACCCCTGTGTCCCACCGCGACCAGATGTGTTGTTCATGGTCTACC